AAATAAAACAAAAACGAAATGAAAAAAGGATTTCCTTATGGACACAGCTTCTCTTGAAACCACACATGAGCTTTGATCAAACGCAGAGTCTGGAGAAAGTATGCTGTGCTGTGGACATTTCTAATAGGCCCCAAACTTTCCTTGGCAGTCTCTCCTCCAGGTGCTTACCAAAGCAAAAACACTTTATTCCGTTGTGTCTCCCAGGCTCCCAGTTGGTCATACCAAGGGTACAAACCTTTAAGAAACATATAAATCTGATGGATAGGTGGTACAGAAACATGTCCAATCTTCCAATGTTCTGTGTTCTGTGACTTGTAGTAATATGTATACAGAAAAGCAGTCATTGAGCATAGGGTTAAAATAATATTGCTTTTTTTTTGCCAGGGAAATTGTTTGTTTTTCTGAAGGGCAGCACAATCGTGAAGGCTGTTGTAAACTGAATCAAAATAGATTTCAACAGAGTTATATTTCATTGAATCATTTGTGACTGCTTTGATTAATCACAGATGTGCTAATCAGATTTTTTCAATTTCTTATTAACTACGGTACCTTTTTTGGGACCTGATTTTTCTTTTTTGCTGGTGATAATGTAAACCTGACCTGAAGGCTGGCTGTGTTCCAGTCTTGGCAGTTTGCAGTAACTGCACACAGGAACAGGTAGCCTCTGGGTCTTTGTTTGTTTTAAAGTTTTTGTGATGATTGCAATCTGGCAATAAGAAGGCAGATCCAGGTCTCATTTTATACAATTGCTATAACACAGGGAAATTTTGTAAAATCCCTTGAAGCCAGTGATGAAACAGGATGAACTTCCTCTGTCATTACACCTCACCAAACTCCAGAGAAGATCAGAATCTGTCCTGTGTGTTTAGGAAGAACTCCCCCTGAAAATTAATTAAGACCTAGGGTTTTAAAATGTCACCAAAATATATATATTCAAGAGATAAAAGGAAAAAATGACTTTGAGGTTACAGTCAACACTTAAGTTAATTTAAGTCAATTCTGTTTATTTTACTTACAGGCAGTGAGGTGTATCAGATTTCAACACATCACACACCTGCATCTTCAGGGTTTGTTTGCTTTCTATCCCATGACTGCATTCAGTAGACAATAGTAACAGTCAGTAAGAGCACAGTATTTTCTAAGCTGAAATGAATGAAAATCCACATCTTAGTTTCTAGAGTTTAAATAAACATTAGAGACCATGGGGGAAATTTAGGATATTGCAAACACCTCGTAGTTATGCCCTCAGGTTGCGCTGAAACCACATTAGTTAACACCAAGTCATGATCAGTAAGCACCGATGTTCACCATTGGGTTAATGATGAAAGTCAAGTTGTCACCTTTAGGTTTCTGTAATCCTGCTTTAAAATGGAATTAAAGGAAATTTCAATTTTTTTTTCAGGTCAGAAAAAAAAAAAAAGTCAGCAAGTACTAATAGATTTTTGTTTCTTTTCCCTCAAATTGCTTTTGTATGAGGCTTGACCTCCTGAAGCCAGTAATGTAACTTTTTTTTTTTAATAAAGCTTTGAATCTGCCCATTGAGTGCACATGAGCTGCTGAACAGGAGGGCATAGCACAAAGGTTCACAAGTGCAAGCATTACCATGACCAGGAGAGCTTGTTTGTGTGTATGTGTGCATGCATGTGTGCACATGCAGTTGGAAGATGTTCTTGGCCTTCATTTGCATTTTTGTTTTTATTTTTTATTTTTTTTCCTTAAATGAGAAGGAGTTCTGCACTTCAGTCTGAATGTTATTCCTCAACTTAGCTTTAGGACAAGTAATATAAACAGTAGTGAAACTTAAATAAAAAATTGTAAACTGTTCAAATCATTTCTGACTATTTGTAAAGAATTGAGGTCTGTTAGGAGGAGACTTCCACATATTTATCTATCCTTTTTAACTTTAATTTAATCTGCTTTCCAAGCAGTCCCTCTTCATCTCAGAGACATCTTGGATAGTACCACTGAGTTTCTATGGCATGCAACAGCAACTGACCACTACATGTTACAGCTGTTTAATGCAAGTACCTGTACATTCCCTTTTTGTTTCTACTTTTTTTTTTTTCTTTCCCTCATAAAGTAGTTGAAAAATGTGGAAAACAGCTAAAAATAGAATGCGGAAGTAATTTCAAAAGCCTGACTTTAAGATTGTAAAGGGTTCCCTGGCTATTACAAGAGTTTCCAGAAAGATACATGGGAAGCTTCCCCTGTTGGGAGTTCATTTTTAATGTCTTTAAGCTGAGAATTTTATGAGTGTCTCTTTAGAAGGAAAGGGTTTGTTTTCTTGGCAGGAAGGGCAGGAGAGCAAATCCTCTAACACCCATGAAGCTGAAGGATCAATAGGGCAAAGCAGCTCAAAAAGTCCCCCAGCCTCCACATGAAGAACTGCTTGACTCTGGACTCCTCTGACTGCTGGCATCAGAGTTTTCCTTGGAGACATGCTGCCACCAGCAGATAATGGCTTGGAAAAGGAGCTAAAATTCCTGTAAGGGTCTGAGAGATGTTGTCTGAGTCTCCTGCTACTTGTCATATAACATATTTCCTCCTCTCTGTGCTTCGTGGAGCTGCCAAAAGCATCGAGGAAGAAGGCACAGCATCTCCTCCTGTGATGGGTGCTCAGAGCTTTCCCTTTCTTCTAGCTATCATGTATTCATCAGTCCAAGACTATAGGGCCCAAAGAGAGAATACAATTACACAGAAATGAATTTCAAAAGCAAAATTGTTTAACCATTATTTTTTTTCTGTATGAACTTGCCATGACTTGTATGCAAGATATTTTCATTTCCTAAAATGTTGAACAAAGAAGACAAAAGGAATGGTTGTAGTGGAAACATGCAGTTCATTTTCTTAAATTTTAGTTTAAAAACAGACCAGAAAGGAAACAGTTACATAGGAAACAGTCATTTCTCAATCTTATCACCAAAGCCAAAGAGTATTGCATTGCTCTGAAATTTACTGGAGGGTTTGGTTTGTTTGTTTCCAAACAGCAAATAGATATGTTTACATTTGAAGAATTTAGTCATTAAAAAGATGAACAGAATTGTGAGTACCTGTGTCTGACTTTCTGCAAAACAGAATTTTTTGAGAGACTGAGATTCTTCTGCCTCTCTTTTCCTCTCTCTCAAATCTCTCTCTGATTCTGTTTGCCTAATTCCCTTTACTTCATTTTATTTCTTTGCAACTGCATGGATTGAATTTAGCATTTCTTTTCCAGACAATCTTTGATATTTTCTATAGCAAGCACACCTTTTCTCTTTCTCATTTTGTCACGACAAAACATCTTACATGATCTCAGACCTGTCTCTTTCTTACTAACACAAGCTATTGTTACCAAGAAAACTGAGTTTCCAGGTGAGAAGTGACAGATTTCAGCAATGTGTTTTAGACAGTGGATCTAGTACACATTAGACCCAGATAAGGATATTTTGTTTAAGATTATCAGAATGGAAGTCTGAAGAGGACTATTATCTAAACAGGAAATATTTACAATATTCATAACCAAGGCTTGATTTCAGCCACTTCTACTTGAAAGATTTGAGTTCTATGTTGACAATAAAAAGAATATGGTCATTATTTTAATTCTCTTATTGAACATTGGGAATTTTATTTATGGGAGACAAAAAATATATCTGAACTTTTCCTCACCTGTACTTGTTCCACTGTTACTTAAATTCCTCACATTAGAAGTAAGCTGATAGTCTTGTACAAATATGTAAAAAGAATAAGAAGACTATGGATAGTGGAGGATGCTAAAATATTCAGATGTGTATAGACTTTTGATTATCAATCGATTATCTATCTTTTATTTTTATCCCTAGATTACCTCAATGTTTTAGTACCATCAATGATGGATGATATTTTTCTGAATCTCTTTTACCTCTGCTATGCAGTAAAGTTCAGCCAACCTGCACAAAGGTTAGACCCAGTTAAAACAGCCTGTTAATTATTTATGAGACAGCAAGAAGACCAATGGGACTTTCACTTGTCCTTCTGGAGAAATAATGACACCATTACAACCTATTTAACACCATGAAAAACAATATCCACAGGTGACCTTCCAGAATCATTGCCAAGTTGGATTTATGGCCATCATGTACTGTCATCAAGTAAGCATATCAAAGATGAGGCTTAAAGTTAAATTGGCACTTCAAATGCCAACAGTACCCAGAGGTTTGATAATATTAAAATTTCTTAATTTTCCATTAGTATATATAAGTGAGTAAATGTCTCTCACGGACCAGATCTGATAACCAGCATTGTTTTTTTTTTCAGTTCTGGGAACCTATCATATGCTTTCAGTAAGTGCTCTGATATGACAGAACGATAGTAACTGAGATATAGCTATGTCTGTTAAAATGGTCAAAACTCCTGTACTTCAAGAAAAACTTCAGCACTCCATTACTTCAAACGTACAGTCTCCCTGGTCAGTCCCTGGAACTAATGCTGGATCTTGGAAAATTGAAAGCTTTTTTACTAGTACTTAGGTCACTGGTGTATAAAAAATAAAATATCATTGTCATCTTCAAGGAATGTTAACTTAAAAATTACTATACTTCAAGCTTTCTGTTTAATGAGTGACTAATTCAAAGGAAAAATATGGTTTGCCTGTGCTTAATGGTAGTAGACTATACCGAGGTAGATATAATTTCAGTCCCTAGGTGGGTTTGAAAAGACATGTACATATATCAGAATGGTGACTATAGGAAGAAATAATAACTTAATCTAAATGTTGTTGCTGAACAAAAGAGCAGCATGTAGGACACATGCAGCTGTGAAACTGCAGATGGTATAACACGGAAACAGGAGCTAACTGTGTATCTTGAAACAGATGTGAAGCAGAGGGGGCATGCTCCAAATAGCTGATTAATAATAATAATAATAATAATAATAATAATAATAATAATAATAATAATAATAATAATAATAATAAATACATTAAACTAATATAATTGATTACTCACTTTTTAAAACATACAATAATTACTGACACAGAATTTCAAGAGGTAGACATAGTCCTGGTCTAAATGACTGCACAACAGCATGAGAGCAACTTCTTCATACAATAAAAGAGAATAAACTACTCATGTTAGAGTAAGGGAAGCCAGACTGGCATCGAAGGAAAGCTGAGTGCAGGCAGAAGGCCCATGGGCAACTATATGATTATTCACAAGCATCTCAATCATAGGATTTTCTTGGCCAAAGTAGTACTGTCTTCACCTTCTCCCTTATCTATCCCTTCCTTCTCCACCAAAGTGGTAACAGAAATTTTCTCTTCCCTCACAGCAAGGGAACAGTGAGAGAAGTTTCTTCATTATAAACTTCTGGTTATAAGAATTATTTCTCCTTTGATGTCAGAAGCCACTTCTTTGTGTTGTCTTTGACGTCGGACATCGTCAGCACAAAACCCTTGGAGCCTCCTCCTTTGTGTGTTAAATAAGCCATCTGTCTATGCAGTTGGACTGCTTCAGCTGTCACTGCTGATGTTAGCTGTTGTGTTCTGGACTTGTCTTCTTAACCCTCCCTGTAACACCACCCACCTAGGCCTTTGGTCAGTCCCATTCAGCCCATCAGAAATGCTTGTACCCGTGATTGGTGTATTATCTATAAATAATGATACAAAATTTCCAAAGCTTAAATTGCTACATGTCAATAGGCTCAGAGGAATTTTTTTTGTGCCTCTTTTTGCTACTGAGCACTTTCAAAACCATCACACCTTCTGGAAGTGAGGTGTTTATTGAATTCCAAGCCAGAAAGTGCTTCACAAAGAATGTTCTGAGAATAGAATTACCAGATTTTGCTTTCAGGCAACAGAACCTGTATTTCTGTTTGCCCTTTAGAGTTCAGAAGCTAGAACAACTGTATATCCTCCCATAACTCATTAGCAGTAAGGAAATTGTAAAATATTTTATGACCTTCTCCTTCCTCTACTTTTAAAATCCTTGAATTCTGCATTCTGGATTATTATTTATTTTTTTTTAAATACCACAGTAAATGAACTGGAGACTGCACACAAATCAAATATTAACTACACTAATATCCAAAATCACCTAAATCCTGAGAACAATGTTGGCTGCTTTCCAACTAAAGAGCACACAGTATGTGCATTTTTTCCAGTTCCCTTTCAGAGCTCTATTAAATTCAGTGTATTCTGGTGGTCTTATACAATTCAATTTTTCAAGTAGTCAGCATATATTTTAGAAAAAAAACGTGAAGCAGAGAGATGCTTATTTGTTTCCTGTCACAAGCACTGTATTTGTGGACTGCTCTTGAAGCCCTCCCACATTCATCCTCTCTTCCACCCTCCTGAAGAATCTGATACACCATGTCAAAAGCAGAGCCAATGTTTGAGGAATAGAGTATCTGTCTAAATGGTTTCATCTGAGTTATCACTTTTGGTATGTAGAGTACCTGCTGACAGGGAGCAGATTCCTTATTTCCTGCTGTTCAACATACAACTGGATCATAAATGAAGCTCTTGACATTGCCTCTAAAATCTGGCTGCATCCTCCCATCAAGTGATGTCTTCCTCAAGTCCTCATTTATCACTTTGATATTTCACTTTGAAAGAAACCAAACTTCCAGGGACCAAAGGACCAGAAGGGAACCATTAGGGGAGGATGTTTGGGGAGCAAATTATCCACACAGACCATCAAGTTTCGTCTATTCATTTTTATAGGTTCAAGACAAACCTTGATCAAAGAGACCCTCCCCACCCCCACCACCCCAAACTACAACAGAAGCGATTTATAAGGAGAAACTGATTTTTTGAAGGAATTTTGCTTGTTTATTTTAGAGGGACCACCACAAAATAGAAGTTCTTCAGAGGCCCCTCCAGTTTCTGCTTTGCTTATTCAAACCAGTGTTCTCACCAAAATCAACTACTATGTATTTTTGATCTGCCAGAATTTTCTCCTAAAGAACAGGGAGCTGTTCTGTCTGAGCAGGAGCAGCCACCCTTTCTTTCTAAGTAGTAGATACATGCTTTCAGTAATTGAATGCAGCTGCTTTCCTTTCTGTCCCTTTTTTAGCTTTTGAAGGAAATCCTGTTCAGAGAGATATCAGTGCCTTCAGCAGGGATGAGAGAAGGCCAACTGGAAGACCTGCCTTTGCCTTCCAGGGCCAGATACCATATGACACATTCTTAAATCACAGCAGAGAATGTAGGTATGATATTACAGGAAAATATGATTTCACTGCCTGTCTTTTAGAGTCTATATAGATAGCTGGCTTTTCTTTAGAAGATGGTCTTCCCCAAGTGAGATAATCTTCTGCTTTCTCGCATGGAGATATAATAACTTTCTCTAGTAGGATAATGTATCTGAAAAAAAAGACTTCTATAGGCATGGCATTATCCCAATATGTGCTTTTGCTGTTAAACACCTTGTTTTTTGTCTTTATAGAGATTTCCAGGGACTAGAAGTGAGGGAATTTTCAATGGTTGAACCTTGAATCTATGTCCTCTCAGGTGAGCAACCAAATACAGCCAGAAAAGGAAAGAACAAGAATGAACTATAAAACTTACTGTGAATATAATTTCACATTTATAGTTTTATATTTAGATGACACTTTAATGTGAGCCTTGGGCTTTCATATATATTTCAACATTGTAAATTTTTGGAACATGCTTTTAGAACAAAAGATAGATTTCCCATAAAAACAAGTGAATATATTATAGTAGATAACGGAAAGTGCAAAATTAATACAGAGAATTAAGTCTCAGGGAAGTTAATAATGATAGCAAGGCTTCAATGAATAAATAGCTGTACTCAAATTGTGCAATTCTTCACAGATATGCTAATGCAAGCATGACTGACAAGGACAGTGGAAGTGCTATAACTTCTTAAAATGGATCTTAAATTAAATACATAGATAGTTTCATTCTCTCAGGCTACAGACACAGGATCCAGTAGATAATGTTCAAAGCATAAATCCAGATCAAATCTCACTGCAGCAGCAGTAGACAAAGGAGCAGAGAATAAGCAATGAGCAATGAAAAGCATGCTGACCATGCATTGAAGAGATGGCGCTTGAAAGCCCCTATTTACCTTTGTTTCAGACAGGGGTACAGTTCTCAGTGCATGGGTGATGCAGAAATAACTCTGTAGGATTGCATCAAGCCTCCATCCACAGCATTTTAAATAAAGATGAGCTGATGTGCAGAAGTTTGTAAGATTGTAAGCACTGTAACCATGTGTGTAGTGCTCAGTGGAGTGAAGAACAAAGGAAAAAAAAAAAAAAAGGCAGTGAAAAAAAGTTATAACTTTAACAAAAAGACACATCACCAGTCCAGTGAATCTGGATGCCCAGAATTTCACATTGCTGAGGTAGGTCTGGCTTAGGCATCACACTACACAGGATATAACTGCTCTGCGTGTGCAGCATGTGTCTGTTGTCCTAAAGGAAAATTCTTCCACAGGTAGTCACTGATAGTTGTACTGGGTCAAAATGAGCCAGGGTGCCTGCACATCACTGCTGAAAGAATTTTGCCCCTGAATCTGGAAGCCAAATCTTCTGTAATTAGAAATCCAGGAAGAATTAGGGCAGTCTCTGAAGAATGAGGAGCTTTCATGGCAGCTGCCCTCAAGGTTTTACGGACATCAGGGAGACTGCACAGCCCTAGGTGAGGAAAGATCACAGCTCTTGAAAACTTATTTATGGGAAGAGAGGGAGAATCTGTGAATATAACAGCAGTACTTGGCCTCCACTAGCACAAATGTTCTAAATGGCTGAGAACGATGCCAAATCACAGAAGCCAGAAGTTCTTGAAGGGAAATAAACATTTTTCCACTGTCTTTTTTTTTTTCTTTTTTTTTTTTTTTAACAACCTTTGAGAATCTTTTGGCTGTGGCAGCAAAACTGCGGGGGAAAAAATTTACTAATTCCTTCAGTTTAAACTCTGGCATAAACTTTTTAAACCTTGACGGTCTTTATTACATTCTGAATTAAAGTATTTCTGCTGAATGTAGTGATTTATTTATATTTTTGTTGTTTCTGTTGGCATTTTATGTTCAGACATTTTTTGAAGTACTTAATATAAAATAAACTCACATGCAGATAACTTTGGAGCAGTGCAGTATTTTAAAAACCACATGTTTACAATAAAACAGTGAGAGCTTTGAAATCAAAGTTAAGCTCAGGATGAAACTCTGGGGAAAAAAAAAAAAATGTTTCTGTATTCATGAGTTTGATTCTGCTCAAGTTGAGCCAAAATTCTTCTCTCATCAAAAATGACTTAAATCTGGACTTTCCCCAGTAAGTCAATGGAGATACTTCATGTATGCTCGTCTCAAGAAAAGCAGAATCAGGGCCTCTGTTTCCACTTCTGCTTTATGCAACGAAAAATGCCAAAAGCTGAAGAAATTGGGCCACATGGATCAAAGATAGCCATCTGAGACTGAAGGTTTTAATCCATTCACTCAAAATGTTTTCACTGCCTCTATTCTTGATTTCTGGATGCTTTAACTTTCTATACTTTATGTGAGAGGAGACTTTAAATAACATATCATCCTGGCTGCATGCAAAATAGGAAGTAAATGGTATCAGATCAACTCTGAGCTGATAAACAACATTTTTTCCCCTTACATTTCTGACAAATTTATATTGTGTTTTAAAGCTGAGAAAATTACTGAAAAATGGTAAAGAAAAAAAATAAAATCATTTATCAAGCCAGATCTCTCCTGGAAGATACAAACTAAACTAGTGTTCTCTGAAGATTTCATCTTGCTTCAATTATATCTTAACTATATTTTAGCTGCTTAGTTTGAGAAAGGTGAGAAAAGTTAGGTAGATATCAGCTCAAAGATGCCTCACATTTTTAACATGAATTGAATAATTAATGAAAGGCATATTGAACAGTGCAGTTCTCCTAATTTTCAGTTACCACCACCTCCTTCATACAATTTGAAGCTTGGCCTGTGTTCTCTGTTCTGGCCACTTGAGGGAATCAGTCTGTAGCTGTGGTCCATAATTTTTGCTTCTACATTAAGGAGAGTAAGAAAAATTATATTTGTTGCAGAAAGTTTTCCAACTTTACTTCAACATTAAAGACATCACAAAGCACCGGCTCAGAAATAAATTACTCCCTACATACTAAATATCCAGGAAGGGAAAAAAAAATGTTGATAAATGAGAGTCTTGGGAGTTGCTAAGTGAGGTCCCGGCACACAATTTATGATCATGCACTCTTGGACTTCAGAATGATTAATACAGCTAATTCTCAGTAGAATAAGAGCTGTTTTAGCCCAGGAGAGAACTGTACGTTATTGTTTATAGAAGCAGATAACATCAAAGTAGCCCACTGCTTGTGTTAAGCAAATACAGAATTCTGGGTCAGTGCAAATTAATCCTAAAGGAGTAAGAAAAAGTTCTTAATGACTACTAGATCAGTGTGTTATCACTTTTCATACAACTGAAAATGGTGGAACTGTTGATGAGAATTACAAATGGCCTTGCTCACCACAGCATGCTGGCAGCTGTCTGTTAGCATGGTCACCATTAAACACACTGGTAATCTGTACACATGAAATTTGCTAATGAAGTATAGAAGACATACATAATTTTCTGAGATACTTGAGTTTTTTCAAAATCATCTTTTGCAACAAACATGCAAAGTGTTTTATGCTACAGTTAGCTAGGAAGACTGAGAGCCCTAAAATTGTTATCTGCTATTCATTAAACAGGTAAAAATAATTTAAAATATGGTTTATAGATACAAATAAATTGAATTTACATGAAGTCACTGTGGGAAAAAAATGTTGTTGATTTATTAACAAGTATCTATTAACCTGTCTTTTCTAGCTGAAAAACATAGAAAGCACATGGTTTTGCTTTCTTTAGAATAAGTAGGATACATTTCATGGACTGTAGTTAACTTTGCAGTACTGTCACATTGCCTTAGAAACATTACTTGGTTCCCTAAAGGTATAGTTTAATAGCTAGACAACAAGCAGGTCTAGAAAATAAGCTTCCTTTATTTCTTCCTGGGAGGTTGTTGGAGTTTTATAGGAAATGATCTGTGCACCTCTGACCATATCCCAGGACACTGTAATTCTGTGCCAGCTGTGTCCTACACCCCACACCACAGGCTGGGGCAGAGCTGTTGGCAGGGAAGGAGGGTGAGCAGGCTGTAAGGTGCCACAGCCTTGAGGCTGTGGGCTCTCAGCTCTGCTGACCTCATGGAACAGCAAAAGTCTCCTCGCTCTCTGTTGGTAGGTCCTGAGCCTGCCTACAAGTCATTACTGACTATGAATACACACTCTGTAGGCAATTTAACTCTCACAGTCATTGTGCAATTATTTGTCCATGACGTTTGTTTTCAAATAATTTGTCTTGTTTCATGAAGGACCACCACACTAACAAATATTTTCAGTTAATTATTAGGTCCTCAGCTATATTGTCCTCTGACACAGTTGTCACTTAGTAAAGTTCATGCACACATTTCAGTGCTTCTCTGAATAGTTGACTATAAAAACAAATTATTTTCAAATGCTGTGACAGAAAAAAATTTGTTCCCCTTTTGACTTGTGGCTTCCTTTTCTACTACTTCATATTTGGGGTGCATATGGAGACATATATTGATGTAAGCCAAAGATGTGAAATTCCCCTGTGCAAAGGGAAAATATTTGTCCTTCACAGGACACCAAATCTTTTTTTTTGCCCCCATGACAGTGTTACATGGGAGAACTCTTTGCTTGGGTGATGAGACAGAGCTGTAGCAGCCTTGTTTTGTTCTAGTATCAAACTTTCCTGAAGATCCCCAAGATCTCTTTGTACATACCTGGGTGAAGGAGGACCCAGGTCCCTATGTATGCTATGAGGTGAGCCTGCTTGGGTAACCTAGCCAACCCTTTGGCAACACACAGATGGGTTCCAGGCCTTTGTCAAAAACTATGGTTGGTAGGAAAAGCTGCTGACTTCTGAAATTAATAGCCTCCCAAATCAGAGTTTATTAACAAGGAAAGAAAGGAGAAAAACAAACAAACAAACAACAACAACAACAACAACAACAACAACAACAAAAAAGAAAAAAACACATATCTTTCCTCCTCCTTAGCCTTCTCTCATGGTTTCTTTTAAGGAAAGTAGCCAGTTTTCCCCATAGTACTAGGTGTACTGGGTAACATGGTCACTTGGCTGGGAATGGAGGCTGCCTGGAGGTGCATTGCTCAAAATTGCACAGCCTACAGTCTTTGTTCTACCTCATTCTGCAGGAAAGTGTCTGTAGGTGGCTCATTGCCCCATCATTGCTTAACCAAACCACTTGTATTTCATTTTTTAGTCTTCTCAGAGGAGTCTGTCCCTCCTCCCCTTTAATCATCCTTGATGCTTCTCTCTGAACTCCCTCCAGTATGTCTACACTTTTTGCTGGTATGTATCAGGAGCTAAACACAGTGTAATGAGTGCAGAACAAAGCTACAATGTAATGGGTATTCAAAATAAATAAATAAATCTGGATTTTGGTAACTACTGTGTAGCAAAGTTAATTTACAAAGTTTGTCTGAAAAAGCAAAATATGCTATTTTTCATTTGCAGATAATCTTCTGAAACCTTCCACCTCTAATTCCTAGAAAATAGAAGAGCAAAAGGAAACTAGTGTGAGCCACTGCTTCTATTTCAGTTCCACGGGGTCACATCTACCTGTCAGGATTATGCACAGACCTGTTAAAATGCTCTGTGGAGTTTCTTGATGCCTGGCTTGTCCAGCTCACCCTTTCTAACATCATGCTACTATTATGCTGTGCAACTGGCCACTCTGACAGCTTTCATGATGCCGAAGTTTATGGCAACTGTAAATCTATTAAGCCACAATTTGCACTTAATAAAATGAAACAGCAAGCAGTTAAATGAAAGCTCGATCCTAAACTGGAGAACATTTTTCAGGAAAAGTCACTGGGGCTGCTGCTGCTACTGCTGCCTGCCTTTGAGAAATTCAATCGTGCTGATTGAGGAAACCTGGAGAGAGCTGGCTATTCCTTCCTTCAGTTCGTAATTGCCCCGTAGACCATTTAATCATCTGCGGATGAAACAAAGGCTGCGCTGTGGAGTGCCGGATGCCAAGGTATGTGCTTATCAAACCCTTCCTACCCACAGAGCAGGGTGCGGGGCTCATCTCCGTGTTTCAGAGCAGTCCTGCTGTCAAAGCAGAAAGCTGAAAGCAGACTGGCTCTTCCTGCTGTCACTACAGTGGCCTTCCTGAGTGTCTTTGTTTTAATACAGTAAAGCCTGAACAAGCTCTCAGGAGCTGAGCTCAGAGCAGAGAATGAAGGTCTTCCTGCTGGGGACTACAGCGAGGCACAGAGGCACCTGCCAGGAGAAACCTCTGGACGCTGCCTTGACAAGAAGAGATAAGCACTGGGAGTTAAAGGAGAGGAACATGGATTTGCTGGCTCCCGTAAAAAAAATTTCTCTGTCAATGTTAAAAATGACATTTTTCATATCCTTGTCCTTGTCTTCATTCCATACTGAGGTATTTCTGGGTGACCAAGTGGATGGCCCTGGTTCGTAGATGAATAGTCTGGTCAGAAACACCATGCCTGGTTTCATTAACTAAACAAAACCAAAAACCAACAAACAAACAAGCAAACAAAAACCTGGGGAGGCACTCAGAGCTCGAAAACCTGATCCAGCATACTAATTGGTTTGGAATATTAGCCTTTAGTTGAGATTTGAAATCCATTTCCTCCTGAATATAGGCAATTTGCCTGACAGTTCAGGCACTACATGTAAGCTTGACATGCCGCCCTTCATCCCTAGATCATGTTTTCCGGAATACACATTCAAAATAGTTACAAGAGCTGGTTATTCCTGGGAGGGTGCCTCTGTCCCCTTCTTATAAGTATTCCTCCTGACAAAAGTTTTAGGATTCGTAATTCACAAAAACTACTCGCTGCTGACTAATGCATGCCAATTAAGTTCGCCCCTTGAATCAACAGTTTCCTGTTACCTGTTCCTTCAGGTAGAACAGCAGCTGATACCCCTGCCCTTTCCCAGGCTTCTGTGCAGGGACCTTTCCTGCCCGAAAACAGTGGGGACACCTGTTTTCCGAGCATGGAAGGCCAGTACCTGAAATCTTAGGAATGGGCCTGCTATTGAAAACAGGGGGCTTGATAAGGCAGCCACTGTGATAGGCAGCGGAAATTTGATGATGAAAGGAGATGCCTAATAGATTAATCTGGTGTGATTTGCCAAAACACAGGGTTTTCTGGAAGATTATCCACACTCGCAATAGGAAGCCCTTTGTTTTGTGAAAGTCCCCACTTATCATGGTATTCTTTATCTCAACAAGAAACATAATGGTTTACTTGTTTACATGCATGGCAGATATATTCAGAGCTGGGCTTAGGAACTGTGAACTCCTTTTCATTTGAAACGTTTCCAGCAGGCAGGTTATTAGCTGAGGGGGAACAAGCAGTTGGACACACATAAAATTTAAATCTGCCTTGCTTAGATTGGCAAAAATGAATGTTATTTCATCCACTGGGAAAATGTTTTACTTCCTGCTCAAATACTTTTGGAAGAAAATCACAAGCTCATTTGTAGCCATCATATATGTATGTATATATTTTCTTAGAGTTAAGTGTTATGTCTACAGAAATGTATTTGTTACTGTATACCGATTATTTTCCACTAATATTAATTATTTTATTAGCTTGTCTTTACTTCTTCAATTTTACTTTGCTTACTATAAAATGTGACTGATGGCTTTACATTATTTATACTGAATGTGTGGCTAGAATCTAGCCCTTGATGTACCTTGGATAGAACTTCTTTGGTTTCTGGAATTGATTTTTAAATACCTTACACATCCGGGACTGCAGAACTACCAAAGCACTGTGTTCTTGAACTCTGAAAATAAACAAAAACTACCATGTTAGAAAACAGTTTTATTAAAGCCCTTTTTAGCAACCTTGTACCAACAAAACTTTCAGAGTGCAGTATTAAGCCTGCTATATACACAGTGTACATGCTATACAAAAGTGTGCACAGCAAGAAGATGCATTGTGTTAAAAGAGCTGGGGCGCTCAAAGTACAGGAGTTTGACTAGGTTATTTTTCTGCAGTCCTATGCAGTAGCATATTGTCTGTACCATACAGGATATAAATTTTCTGCAGAGGCAGCCAGTTTCCACACTGGGATAAGTAAGTGGTGGAGGGTCACTTCAAACAAGGCTGAAAGAAAGGGAAGACAAAAAAAAAAAAAAAAAAGCTACTAGCCCTGGTGCCACAGAATTAGTTATGTGGCCCTACCTAGGTATTTTGCTGCAGCCAGCACAAAAGCAAGGTAGGAACTGAAATTAAAAAGAAAGGGGAGAATAGGGCTGGAAATCTGATAAATCCATCAAAAAGAATAGATCTCCAAAGATTTGTCTGTCTAGACCAGTGGACGGCTACAAATAAGAGTTAGTGGCTCATGCAAATGGATACAGTGTAATGAAAAATTACTGTGGAGTAATACTTGGCATAGACAAAGGATTTTATTTTACTTGTAGGACATATTTTATGGTTTATGAAGACATTGGAAATCTACTTTCTGTTTTCTTCTTCCATATTCATAGTTTACATTACTTATTTTACAATGTGTTCAGGCACACATCGTACTTTTTGCTGTCTGCTCTATACCTTCCTATAGTTCAAATGGTACTTAAAGCCAAGTCTTGCAATTCAGAGTAGTCAGCGTACATCTGAAACTGAGAAGTGTGGAGAAAGCCTTCAGAATTTTGTTGGAATTAGTGTAAATTCATTACAATATTTTCAAAGTTTCTTCTTCACACTCGCAGGAGCTCCAGAACAGTGTCCACAACATCTCTAATGTGGAAGCACCAGACAGAATCAAATATGACCCAAAATAATGATACAGTAATAATAATGCTTGATAACGTAGTTTCCTCTTGTCAAGTTTGACACCAGTTTTACACAAGTGTCTGTATGTTGGAAAATAACAGCATCTTCTGGCAACAATTGATGGGATTACTTTCAGAGGGAAGACCTTTGCAAAGCAAGAGTGACAGCTTTACTATTAACCATAGAATTCCTGACAAAAAGTAATTTCTTAATCTATTTCTTGGTTCATACCCGTGTTTCTAATTCCATTATCTTGAAAATATTACCAAAGCATTCTAATAGTGTCATTGATTTTTTTATTTTTTTTTTTTTTTTGGGGGGGGAAGGGAGGGAGAAAGATGGGAGAGGGAAGAGATAGGATTTTTTAGATTTTTTTACACCCATTTTTTGTTTGTTTGTTTTTTAGAAACTTATGATTCCATCACCAAACCTTAATCATAGGATATTTCATTTTGAATTGTGCTCCAGGACTGTACTCGATGCACTCCAACAGCTAACAGGTAGCTAACAGTTTCCAGAACCAGACAGCACCAAGAGATTTGCTCCACCGATCTGCTCCAGGTGATAGACCTGATACTGTGTGCACAGGTTCTGAGACCAGTGCTGGTTTTGCCATACAGGAGGAAATTTATGTGAGTATAAACACAGTGGCAGATTTCAGATCAGTTGAAAGTTTCCTGGCTCAAGAAGAAGCATTGTATGTTGAGTGGATGGTTTGTTGAGAAGTGAAGTTTCAGTTGAAGGAAAAAAAAAAAAAAAGTGTCATTTTCTTGTGAACGTCCTTCATGGGGAAATACCTATTAAAAATGCATGGAAAGAATGAATGGAAAAAAAAATAATAAAGAAAAGATATGTACAATGACAAAGTAGCTAGCAATGTCTCTAGATAATGACACAGGACCTTCAGCATTTCTGGTTTTCAATCAATGAAGCGCCAAGCAGACCTTTGTTCCTGGAAGCTCCTGGGTTGCTTTTTGTGTTTTGTTGCTCCAGTTATGTCTAGTGAAAGACACTACCTCTCCTTACAAGCCTTGACTTGGTTGTAAACTTAGATCATCCAAGCTACAACAACAGGACAAACTCTGCATAGTGCAAATGTAATTTGCAGGGTCAGCATGAAACTGATCCTAGATCTTGGATGAAAAGTGAGCTATATATGTTGTGTCACATCCATGGAGCTGCCGGCACCTGCTAAGAACCTTCAACATGAACTGAAGCCAAAGTGAGCTGAGGTCACGCTTCAGGCACTCCAGCATGCATGAAGTCATTGTGTTCAGCAACCCTGGCTAAATGTAGTGGCAGTGTGTACATGTACATATTGCAAAACCATGGTCCTCTGTCCATCCTCTGTTCCTGTTGCCCTTGGGTCTGCTTCACATAGGATGTGCAGAAAGGTAGACTTTGAGCTATACAAAACAACCACAAAATCAAAGTCTACGTTGTTGCGTTAGGTGCAGAATTCCTAAGCCAGAATTTAGTCCATCACATATTTCAAGATTTTGCAGAAGACAATAAATATGCCTAATATTCATCTTTGAAACAAAACTATGAAGCATGTCTTATGTTTTCAGTTTTACTGACCTCCCTCGTGGAAGACAAACGTTGCAGAAATCCTTGCTGAAAAGAAAGGAAGACTTTGGCATGTCAACTCTCCACCAGTGGATCTGAGGCAACAGAACATTTATTGTTTTCAGTTCTCTGGGACTTTTAATAGAAAATCTTGGATTTTTGGCAATTGAAAATAAGAGCTTTCAATTCAGACAAAAGAAGTGTTGTTTCTGGTACTAGTCCAAAGAATTAATACAACATAAAAAGTAATATACTTCTGTCTGTACCTTAATGACAGTAAAGTGGGTACTCTAATTTTTTCCTCTTCCTCCTGTTCATATGTGGCTGGATTTGTCATCATTTGTGTCTTTGGTCTTCTTCCCTGCACCACAAGCAGGCCTGGTGTGTGGCATCCCAGCACTCTCTCATTTGGCTATACACATCCAGGAATTGATACTGTAGCAAAAGGTCAACAGACCTATAAATTAGTATGATCTTTGTGTAGAAACTCATACTCTTTCACATTAGAAGGACAGCTTCCATTATCTAGTTCGGTGTCCAGCATACCATAGAAATAAATGCAGCTGTTTCATTTTGGAGCCAGTAGACAGTTCCCAATAGCAGCAAAGACAATTTGATCCATGATATCTGCTTGTACCCTCCAAGTGTCTCTCCTTTTTCCTGACACTGACCTATCCATCCTGTCTATGGCCCATCACTATCTATGAAACTGGATGGAATTATTCTGTTATTCTCTGGAGAAGAGTCACCTTCCTGATTTCAATCTTGCATATCTCTTCATTTAGAGACAGGTTACCACTGATAAACTTTTTGTTTTGTTTTGTTATTGTTATTATTATTTTTTTTTTTTACCTCTCTATTCTATACTGTGCAATACTGAAGGCAGAAGGATCTTGATTGTCTTCTGCCAGTTCAAACAAAGGCTGTCTGGGTGGAATGAGCATTCCTGTTGCCATCCTTCCCTCCCACACAAATGATGATCATTTATAGCAATTTACAATAATACAGCTTTGGAAAATATATATTGGAAGAGAAAGTGTTGTTTTAAGAACTATGTGGAATTTTCAACATAAAACTAAGAAAAGCACAGGCAATTTTTAGTGGTAAAATATTTAAATCCCTGCATATTTGACAGATTATTCCATGTGAATGATAATGATTTGTTGTAAATGTCACCATAGCAGCTACATATAAATACATTCAGTCTAGTCTGCACTTCAGGATAAAGCCAGGTTTATCTTTATTACCTGTTATGCCACCAGAAATAGAAACATCCCACTCATATTCTTGAGAAAGGAGAACCAAGGTATGCCTTTTTTTCTTCTTCTTCTTTCATTTGAATAGTGAGAAAACTGTAAAGAGACCTAGCCAGAAAATGTTGGCAACTGCACACTGGATTAACTTGAGGGGTGAAATCTGAGAATCCCAGAGGCAAAAAAGAAGGACATTGTCAGGAACAGAAACTTAAACTTGGTAGCCACCCTCACAGAGATGGTAAAGAAAAAAAAAAAAAGCCACGAGAAGAAGCTAGTTTGCCGAGGGATGAGATGGAAAAGCAGAAAGAGAACAATGAAAGAAGAAAGCCTTAAGAAGACTATGAAAGCTCTGAAAGGCAGAGAGAGGAGACACAATAAAAGGAGCAGAGAATGTAGGAAAGAAAGTACAGGGCAGCTCCAGAAGCATTAAGAGGTCAGAGGTGGAACTAATTCAGTTGTCCAAAAAAACAAGTGAACACAGAAGAGAATTTATGGAGAAGCAGCAAGAGAAATCCTCTTGGAGAAAGTGGTGATTGCCTTCATGAAAGCACTGCAGTAAAGCTGATTCAGGGAAAGACCAGCCAAAGGCTAGTCCCTGAATCAGGCAGCAAAGAGACAGAAAATGACAGAGACCTTGGTGGAATCACTCTGTCTGCTCTGCAAGTGGTCATTCCACCTCTGCCCCTCTGGCATGGGCTCCATGGAGAAGCGATGCTATAGTGCTCAGCTGTTGTGCAGCTGAAGGTCCTAACCATGTTCTTTAAGAGAGAAATTAAAATTATTTTGGCCCTCCTTGTGGGGAAAAAAACTCTTCTTACATTGTTGTGGTTGTTGATCTAGTGCTAAGGATGCTCTGAACAAGCTTCTTCATCACTTAAGCTATTTACACCATCCATCTGAAGGCATTTGAATGTAGTGTCTGAGTAGAGTTTCGGTCTCTCCAGTTTCGCACAGTCAGCAAAACAAGACAGATTGCTCTAGACAGCAGTTCAAGGCTCTGAACACAAGATCCTTTCCTTGGCCTTTGGAAGACACTTTTTCTCTCCTTAGTTTACAGAGGGGACCTAAGGCGTCCAACCTGGTGGTGCTCCACCACCACGTCTCCCAAAACAGTTCTAGATTTCTTATGCTGAAAGCAAAAGCTACAAGTAAAGACATGTTAAAAGCTTAACCCTGTATGTCTATTGGGATTCTTTTCCTTTTTTTCCTCTATTTTTTTTAATGGGTTATTTTCTAAAAATTTTTCATTCTAATTAAAAGGTGTACATATCAAGAGGTTATTAATTTGAACACTGAATAATAACACATGCAAAGTAGTAGAGAGAGTTGTAACAATAACACATGCACTCTGTATTAAAAGATGTTTTTAAACTTAAGTTTAATGTTTTGCCCTTAAAAAGAAGCTGATATATGCATTGGTGTAGAAATACCACAGATTCTGTTTCAATTAAATGCCTTCATTGAAAGAACCATAGCATAAAGATTGACTACTACTATTTATTGAAAGTAATAAATTATCCAAGGATTATAGCTCATAAACATGAGACTCGACATGTAAAAAAATGTAATAACTATATTTAAAAAACACAAGCTGTTCTGTGAGTAACTAACAGAGCCTGATCCCTATGCGTGTTTGTCTCATAAGCTCTATACATTACTGCTGCATTAACCCTATCCATCTCTCACATTCCTACCTTATAATCCTTTTTGGCAAGAGGGAACATAGCCTGAGGTCAACCTAAAGCTATGGGCTTACTGATTAGCTGGACAATACGTGTCAAGGAGCATTCATGGTGCATCTGGACACTGCCAAGCAGAAGCAAAGCTGGCTGAACAAGGGCCAGGTTACCTGGAGGAACAAATATGTTTCTTCTCCTCCATCCAACTACAGATTTTCATGGCAGTTTTTGGAACTTAACAATGTTTGGGAATTCTCCTCCTCTCAAATGTGGTTGAAATTGGCTCCTTTTTTTTTTTTTTTTTTTTTTTTTTTTTTTTGTGGGGCAGAAGAACTAGGGGAAAGAGAGAGTGAGAGAGAAAACAGGGCTAAAAATACCATTTGGATTTTTCCAGACCCCTCATCCTGGAATATTAGAAAATTCAATATGTAAAATAATACCATTTTGTCGTTGTTGTTCAATAAAGACACAGAGTAGCAGACATAAATTGGTTGTTTTTTATTTTGATCCAGTAAACTCTTTCATACATGCTGACAGCTGTATTTTCTTCAATTCAGAATGCACACACTTTCAGTTCTGCATTTTTTGATCTCCCAGAAGGACAGATAACACACTAGGGAGTCATTTGGCCAGTGGGGGGTAAGAAAACTTTCTAGCGTGTAGATTACTATGGAGATAAATCCACAGCTGTGTGAGGAGTACATCAGTAGAATTACATCTGTTTACATCAGCTGAGGATCTATCACTTATCAGCAGTAGTATGTTTCCCAAGACAGCTTAACTGATTTGGACTTAATTCTTGATTACATGGTTATTTTGAGAACTCTGAAATGGCCCATAAGAGAAATCCTACTGTCTTCAGTAGTCTTATCTAATTTATATTCTAGGTCCAACAACTATTACTGATACTATGTGTTAACAAACTAAAGGGAATGTTTTGAATAGTCTGTGCCGTTGGCTTCACACTGTTCATCGATAAGGATGTTTATAATTTTGAAGAGTTAAAAAACTTTATTTGAAGTAACTGGACTCAGAAGACTAGTCCACAGGCATAACTGACGGTACTCAGGGGGGGGAAAGAAATTTGAGTCCTACATGCCAATGCCAAAATCAAGATACAGTAGGTCCAGGACAGCCCCTGGACTGCTTACTGCTTTTGGTAACCTGATGTCATGAATAAATACCAGTTATTATTTTCAAGTTCATATTTTCATACCAGTTTCAATTTGGATGACTGCATCTTAATTACAAATCTCAATTACAAATGGTTTCCATGCCTATCTCCATGGAATTCGATCAAATGCTACTGAGGGTGCAAGACACCAGATCAGTAGTGGCTGAGATGCAGATGCACCTTGCAAAGACTTTGCTGTTATTTATGTTGCAATGTATAGTTTTCATCAAGTGTCACTCAAAGGAAGTATGTTTATACACAGAAACATTTATCTCTGCTTTTCCTCTTGTCCCTCTCCCCTTCTCTCCTCCCCCCCCCATTTTCTTTTCTTTCTTTGTCTATTTGGTATATCTCTTCTGTTCTTCTCCTCTTGTTTCCTTTAGAATGGCACCATTTTATGTGTTTAGATGTGTATGCAGAAAGAAAGCAAAAGAAAATTGGTTGGTGTAAACATTGCCTTTGTAGAGTACTGTAATGGGTTATGGCCAAGGAAATTCATCTACAAAGTCACTGAAAAAGCCAAAACTCAAAATTCTATGCCTCCAACTCACATCAGCCTAATGCTCACTTCATCAGAGAAAATATGGATAACATAGAAGTCCAATTATATTGACCTTTGGGGTGAATTTTATTTTCTGTCACTCCAAAGCCAGCAATAAAAAATCTCCAGATATGATCTTAGTGCCTATAGTCCCTTGTTCTTATTTTTAAAAATTAATGACAGTGTTTCTGTCAATAATCCAGATCGCAAGATGCCAAATTTTTCTTCTTTTTTGTTCCCGCAGGAATGTGAGTGGATGCATGGATTGGGCTGAGAGTTTTGTTCAGATCAGTTTTTTACATATACGGTTTCACATTCAAAAAAAATTAAGAATCATATGTGTAGAGAATGAACAACTTCATAGTGAAATAACTGTTTTGTCTGTTCTTAATTTATTATATATTCAATTGCTTTCTGAATATATCATATGTGCTGTTGTACTCCAAATACACTTTGTAGACATCTACCAACACAATAATCAGCTTTGCTTACATTACAATCAGACTTAAGTCATGCCTGTAAAGTCATCACATTTTATGTATTTACACACAGACTTTCTCCCCGCTCTTTCCCTCAACAGACCACATAAAATGTAAGGAATGGTGTCACAAGTCCTGAAGTCAAATCTGCAAAAGTTACAAAACAGGGTAAGGCTGCTGCCTGAGCTAGAAGAAATGATAGTCAGCATTAGAAGGTGGTCGTCCAGGGACTAGTTCTGGAGGAAGAGCTGGGGTGCTCTGCCTTATCACACTGGTAGTAGACAACAAAGAAAATCAGGTGGTGACCCTCAGGAGCTCCAAGTCTCATGCCAGGCTGTTGACCCGGCTACGAAAATTGTTTTTTTCGTTTGCTATAAATGCCAAAATAAACAAAGTTTCCACTGTTGTTATATTTTACATAGACAATGTGTTAAAATCTCTGCCGATGAACATAAGGCTTGAACATGCAGCATCGGGAGCAGAGGTTCTGCTACCTGTATTCAAAATACCTGTCGGCTGAGTTTCAACACATTTACAACTGCAGCTCCTGCTGCATGTGAACATGTTTGTTCTTGCAAGTCTTTCAAAGGTAAAAATTTATGAACAGGAATTTTTCATGAAATTTGGATAAAGTACCATTTGGATAATTAAAATAAATTAATAATAATAACAATAACAATAACAATAATAATAATAATAATAATAATAATAATAAGATGAAAAAGGCAAACTGAATGAAAATAATAAAAATAAATAAATAATTAGATTCCCTGAGGTACAGAGAGCAGACGAGACACTTGACATCTGTGTCCCTAGTCCTGCTACAGTACCCTGTGTAGCTGATGTGGAGGAACTGATTTTTTTTTTTTTTACACAGCTCTACAACAGTGTTATTTGGTGACTTAAAAATTGGGGAAAACATGTCACCTCCTCAAACACTTCTCCATCTATCAAGAAGGCTAAGAAATTTAACTCACTGTTCAGCAGCATACTAAAGATCCTGTGACTTTTGAAACATAAGTGATCCCACTAATGTGTTGCAAAGCAAGAGGGAGAAAAAAATCAAACAGGCAAAGACAGTAAAAGTTCACAGGATTGTGAATTCAGTGGAAATTACGTAGAGATTGAATTTAATTGGCAAACACAACATAGTTTTTTCATGTTTAATTGTGCTTCACCATGCTAAAAATATAAAAGCAATGGTATAGTAAAAATAATTAATTAAATAAATAAATAAAAATAACAAAAAGCATCAACAACAATAACTAAACAAACAAACAAATCTAATAATAATAATAATAATAATAACAAACTGCAGTCGGGAAAAACAACACCAAGACCTCCCAAGGAGATATCTGGCAGGAATGTGCTAAAAGAAACACTTTGCCAAATATTTGTTGGCAAGGACAAATGTTGTTTTCACTCAAGTCTATAAAATGAAAAAAAAAAAAATCATTCCAGGACATATTATTTGTAGCTGTGTTTCCTCTGCAAACTTTGTCAGTATGTAAGACATCATCACTTTGTTGATTATCATTTTAAATTGGTGAAGTCTGGATTTTCTTCCATTCTGCTATGAACTGATGCTGGAGCACACTCGATGATTTTTGTCTGTGACAGAAAGACTTTTGATGAAAAGTAAGCATAAAGAGTTTAAGAACACAAACACTGCAAAATGATAATTATTCTATGTAAAAAGCCACACTAGAAACACATCATAAAATTTTAGTGCTGTGGTGAACATATTTTTTAAAAATTAACACTTACAGCAGTTATCATTTTTTTTGTATTCTCTAAATGTTCTCATTTAAAATTTCAAAATGCTTTCCTATGTCAATGACAATCTTAATAGAGTCCAATTAGTTCCACAAGGCACTTTCTGATGCACAAGCCTCTGGCTTGATTGCGGTGAATGGTGGGTATTTCCTGTGTTTAAGTCCACATATGGATCGAGTAAGGCAGTGGCAGAGAGACTACTGTTTTCCTTCACTACATCTTCATTTCTTTTTCACAGGCTAAGCCTTTTTTGTTTTTCCTGGCTCTGTTGTCAAAACATTGACCAGAGTTTTGGCTCATGGTCTTGGAATACGAGGCCAAAACAATCCTCTGGAAACCAGTGTGGCAAAATGTATTTTAAATCTATACATTCACCATTCAACCATGTGAGTAACCACGCCCACTGCCCCACTCTGTGGTTTAAAAACAACATGGGTTTGCCCCCAGAACGGTTTGATTTATTTGACAAGCTTTTTCAAGCTGGGTATATCAACATTTAAACTGTTCTGAGGCTTGGCTTCTTACGTCACTTGTACAGCAAGTATTAAAACACACTCTAATCATTTTCTGCCTCTATTAAACCAGACAAGGTGAATGCATTGTGCATTCTGCAGGATTGCTTTGAATGTCTCCAAAGAAGGACGAGGTACAGTGATTCTTTTATTTTTCCCTCAATGCCATAGAATTAGGACCTTTTAAATATGATTTTTGTTATGACCTCTTTGGAAAATTCACCTTTATATGCAGCTTCCTCTTGTTCCCGACCTACAAATGTCCATTGGAAAACAGTAAGAGATGACAGATTTTAAAGGTTTCTTCCAAAAATGTAGCATAATGCACAACCACGTGGTGACAGTGCAACTTATTTACCTTCATTGTCAGGTTCACGAATGGACAGTCATTCCTCAGGGCTAACTGAGAACACAAATTGAAACTCAGCTGTAAAACTGAAATCAGGACCAAATTTATTCACGGAATCAGGGAAAATTAAAGTACATGGATGGTGTGTGGTAGATTAAATATTCTATCCAAACATAATCTAATAATTTAAGTACTGGGATGTCATTCCCCCGAACCAAGAATTCCTGTATGATTTATTTCCAAATTTTTCATTCCATTTGTTGTGTATTATGTACCACAGCATTAGAGCCGGGCCTCTTTCAGTGTCGATTGCGTGGATGAGACCTACAGAACTATATGCATAAGCCTAAATTTGGGGGAAAGGATCTGCTTCTACCTTGACCAACCTATAAATTATCTATGTGACACTTGAACCAGATTTAAATATCCCACCTGGATTTCCTCCCAAACTGCACAGCAGGAACCAAACAGCAGGCCAGAAAATGGCTTTCGGCATTCAATAAAACTTAAACTTCTCAGCCAACCCTGCTTCACTGTGCAGAAGGGGAAAAAAAAAAAAAAAATCTGTAGATGTGGGGACCCGTTGCACCGTTGCCCTTTTACCCCTCACAGCACAGGACTTCTCTGCCCCATTTTCACTCCGGTGCGCGCTGGGGGAGCAAGGAAGTGTGCAGGCACTAATTGGGAGAAAAGCCAAAGCAATTAGTGAGGGGGCAGGAGACGCTGGATGGGCTGCTGTTGATGGATCGCCCCTGGAGGTCGCCCCCAGCCTCTGCCCCAGCCATACCTCAGGCCCCAGAGCTGGTCGCATCCTCCGCACACGCGGTACCCGCCCAGGGTACTCACCCTCACCACCTCCAGCATCCTCGCCGCCTTTTTTTTTTAATTCCCGTGCTTTTGAACGTGGTCCCGTCGGCCTGCATCATGAAAAGTGTAAAACTCCATCGCTGTTTTTATCTAGCAACTGGAAAAAAAAAAAAAAAAAAAAAACACGGAGGTTGGGGGTTGGGGGGTGTAAGAGTAACATAAGGCAGCGCTTCAGCAAACCCTATAAACCCGAGATGCAAGAGCTAGAGAAAAGGGGGAGGGGGAAAGGAAGAGGAGAAGCTTGAAAGTATCCGCGCAACTAGCAAATAGCTCCCTTTTGAGTCCCAGACACCATAACTTGTTTTACGATTAGCGATCTGTTTAAAGATTTGTCCTGGAAGTACTTGCTATTGGGTTACAAAAGGTGACGTTAATTGCATTAAGCCATAATGACCCGTGAAGAATTGCAAAGATTTAGAGAAAAACACGCTTTTTCTTAAAATAACAGTAAATTAATAATAATAATAATAATAATAATAATAATAATAATAATAATAATAATAATAATAATAATAATAATAATAATAATAAATAAAGTGGGAGCGCATCACAAGAACGGGTTGGCCGGGGATCTCAGGAGGAGGGAGTGAAGGAGGGGGGGGAAGCAGCCCCCCGGCCCCGACCCCGCTGGATGCTCTCGGCTGCTTCCTGGCCGCACCGCACCTCTCCGCACTGCACCGCACATCACCGCGCCGGCAGGACGCGTGTCAACTCCGGCAGCCGCCGGCGATGCGGTGCGGAATTAAATGTGTCTGCTCATAATCTATAGTCTCCCTCTCCGTGGCAGAGCAGGCAAACAAAATTGTCATTCCAAATGAAAAGAAAACACTATTTCTTAGAAGTGTTTAGGAGGGTGCACAGCGGGGCATATTTTCTTTCTTACTGGCAAGAGTTTGTAACTGGATCCTTTAACATTACTGAGAACATGAAAACATGAAACAAAAGTATTGATCCAAGAATTCGCAGAAGAAAAGTATCCAAATACACACTGGTTTGTTTGATTTTATTTTTTTTAGGTTACATCAGATGTTTACTGGGTGAAGCTGAAGCTTGCGATATAGCCCTTGCATGAGCCATTCAAGCATACGTGGAGGAAAGTGTTATTTGTGTTGTTAAATTTACATTATGTTCACTTTAATTGCATCAGCTGCTAGATAGACCTAGGAATAATGGCATTTAAGAGGGAAATAGCAATCATCTTCAGAAGACTGCAGCATAATGGAGGAACCTAATTAATTTAACCTTGCAGTCTTCCATAATGGCTGTACTTTATCATTTCCACAGATGGAGCTTGAAGGAATTAACAATATTGTTTATCCCAGCAGACATCTCTGACTGTGGTTAGCCCATGGCAGATTTCCCACTTAAAGATGCATTTCTTCACTTGAGGGAAACCTATTCGAGTACTGGCAATAGCTGTCGAAACTTGCTAGTGTTATATGTGTGTGGCATATTGGAAAACTCTGAGAAAATGCACAATATCGGTCTCTTTATGGTCTCATCAAGTGACGCTGGAAGAAGATAGAGTGTTTCCTTGCCTACCAGAGCCAAGACTTTTCCAACACCATTTCAATTTCTCTTCCTTTACTTTTCCCCTTCACTATATTTTTCTTTAACGGCGTGTTCTTCAAATCTATTATTATTATTATTATTATTAAAAAAAAAAAAAAAAAAGCAGTACGTGTCTATTTCTAGATTTTCAGAATTCAACCCAATACTTCACGAAGATGATTTGCAATGTTTACAGACTTGTTATACTTGGGAAACCTGAGTAGACCTGAGGTAAGCACTCCTCCACCCACAAAACACAGCAAAAAACGGATTATTTGAACAAGATGATTGTTTACTCTTTCAGGAAATAATGCATTTTCCACATCGTCGTATCCTATGGTGCACAGGCATGCACACACTCAAGTCATACGTGGGTGTCACCAGTCGGGAAGGGAGAAATCCACCGCTTTGCATATTCTGGCCGTCAGAATCCTTGATACTAAACTGGGCATAAACTATAGGAGCAACATGTTCTGTATTTTTATTTGCATAGCTGAGAGAGTGTCGTTTGGCAATTTTGAGATGGGTATTTGTTACCCCACACATGAAGAGTTAGCCATAGAAGCGAACAAGCATATCAGACAAGCACAGTCTCAGCACATTTCTCTCTCCCCGCTTTCGTATTTTATTCAGAAACGTTTGTTGGTGCCTGGAGGATAGTTCAACTTTCTATGTACAGTAACAGTGTTCTAAGATAGATCTTAAACTATTTTTTTAAGGTTTATTGGTATCTTCTGTTTATTGTTGCTGTTGCCTTTTTGCTTTGTTTTTGGTTTGGTTTGGTTTGTTGGGGTTTTGGGCTTGTTTGGTTAGGGTATTTTGTTGTTACTTTGATTGTTGCTGGGTTTGATTTTCTTTGCGCGCTTCTGAGTGTCTGGCAAGCAAAACCCCCTTCCCTGAACATGGTCCTTGCCGCAAATGATAACTTGAAACCATTCTAACACCCTAACACAGAAACTGCCTTTTCTATTCTTCCTTTGTACGAAGCATAATGCAATAGAAAACAACGTACGCGCGGAAGAATGGGGTCTGCTCTTAAAATTCTTCCTATTGTTTACTATAAAACGATAAAGGTGAATCTCAGCCTAGGAGCCACCCGGGCTGCTTGCGAACCGCCACCTAAGGGCGGCTTTGGATCCAAACCCCGCTTTGCTCATCCGGCAGGTCTCTCCGCAACCAGCCATCGGTATGACATTAAATATCTACACCGGATTAAACACTCCGGTGCGGCTTAGGTTCTCTCGCTGGCGGGCTAAGAAAACCGGCAGCTTACTTAGGGGAGCAGCGCGGCGAGAGTGAGAACGCAGTGATTTGGACTGATGACGTGAGCTGTGACGCTGCCAGCTAATGGGGAGCTAATGATGCCGCTTCGTTAAACAAAGGAGGCTACCCGCTTCGAAACCCTGTTCATTGGCCGCCTGGAAAGAAGCGTGTGCGGCTGTGTGTATAAATTCCCCGTGGAAAATGGGATACGAGAGGGAACCAGCCTGGAGAGCAGCGCAGAGGAATTCAGGCTGCGAGAGGTGCGCTGCTGAAGGCAACGCGCGGGGCAAAGCGTAAGGCGATGGACCGCTCTCTGTGGAGCACGGAGATCAGTTAAATCATCCCAAAATGCACGGAAAAATAAATAAATAAATAAATAAATAAATAAATAAATAACACGGCCGGTGAAGCCCGCGCAGTCACACCGACACAGTAGCTCCTGGGAGCCGGGAACACCTGCTTGACCCGCCGACCCCCTGCGCGCCCTCTCGGGCAAGCCAACCCCGCGCAGCCCCGCACAAGCCCGCGCAGCCCGGAGCGCCGCTTGCAGAGGAGCCCCTGGGTGCAGCCACGCACTGTCTGTGCCCGCACGGTGCTGGGGGGAGCCCTACACAGGGCAGGGGGTCCCGCCATACCCCTATGACGAGGTCGCTCGGGGATTTTAGGTTTTGCTTCGGGACTTAGGCGGACGCCCTTGCGAGAACGTGCTCAGCTGCAAAGCCAGCCCTTGTGAACGGGGCTTTTCAGCCCCTCAAAATTAGTGTATTTCCAATTATAGAGATTTTTCTTTTTTTTTTCCAGAAAACAAATATAAAAAGCGCACAGTGTCATTAACAAAAAGACAGAACACAACCCCCAGGGGGAAGCCTCATGTTGCCAGACCCCTCTCCGAGGAGGGGAAGGGCCGCTGGGCTCCTCACCGAGGATGTTCCCCACGACCTCCGCGCCCCGCGGTGGCTGCGCGCTCGGCAAGGGCTTGGGCTTGGGGGCAGCCGGAGGGAGCTGTGCTCCAGGGCCAGGGCTGAACGGTGCTGGTGGCAGGGAGGCTGCAAAAAGGTCGCCCCGAGAGCTCCCCGTCGGCTCCGCTGCTCCCTCCGAGGGCGAGCTCCGCCGCAGCGCCCGCTTGTAGCACCGAGATCCCGTAAACCTTCAAATCTCCTATGAAAATTAATAAAAACATACGAAATCCTAGACGGTCCATAGCAACTGATTTTTATCTACCGTTTTACGCGCTTCATTATCAACCTAAATATAAAACTCCCGCGATTTAATGTAGTTTACGGAGACCACAGGCATTTTTGGCTTTCCTTCGCCTTTTCATTCTAGCGCTGGCAATGGGCTGCCTGCAGACTTCTCTCGGGAGCCGAATGGGATGAGACCAACGAGGGAGAAAACGACTGCCCCCACTGTACTTAATGCTTCTCCAAATCTACCCGGGGACCCCCAGGCGCATCAAATGCTACTCTTCTGCGCATCTCCCCGGGCGCTCGCTCCCTGCCACCGTTGCGCCCCGGCAAGGAGTTTTTCTGGAAGCTGAAGACCTTGGCCGGGCTCGGGGGAAGGCGGGGGTTGGCTTTAATCAGCATCGTCAGAGAAACAGAATCAGGTGTGGATTTGTTTCAGGCCATGTTTACATCAATCAGTATTTTCGTTACAATCTTGTCAACGGTTTTAATTCAAAGCGTATGCTAGAGCAGGAGAAATTAAACGGTACAAGGGAGAGCGTTATTTCTAGAAAAATGCAATTAAGCACACTGGCGTGGCCGAAATATGTTGATTGCACCAGCGGCGAACATATACATATATATATATATATATACATATACATATATATATATATATATATATATATATTTTTTTTTTTTCCCTAGCTTTATCAGCAAGGAGACGGCTCCATCCAGTGCCCCCAGTTTTGGCGAGCTGCGACCGTGGCCTGGCGATGCGGCGCAGCAAACGGTCTCCTCCTCGGGGATTCTCCGCTTGTCTTAAATTACGCGCAAACACAGACTTGGGTTTTCAGCAGGCTCTGACAGGGGCTGGCACAGGAGGAGTGCAGGCAGGAGGGATGCTTCCAGCACCCTCTGCCCGCCCGGAGCCGCGCAGCCCCTTGCGCGCCTTGCGCTGGCTGCGCCTCCCCGCGCGGCACCCAGCGCAGCACCCTGCGGTACGCCGGGGAGCGGCCGAACAAGGCGCGGAGAGATGCGCGGAGATGCGCGGAGCCGGCTCTCCGCCCTGCCGCTCCTCCGGGAAGGCTCAATTCACCGGACGAAAGGCTAACCCGCCCCAGATGCGCTCCTACCTGCGCTGTATTTTTGGTTTAGCTACTTGCACGGGACGCGGATCGTCCGGCGGTGCGGGCGCCCTGCGTGCGTCCCGGCGGCTCTTTTCGCTCCCGCTCTCCGCCATCCCCGGCTCACTTTTCACATCAAATAGGCCATTAACTTTTGATCCTCGCTGTTACATTCCAGGTTTCCCAGTGATGTTTCCTGCACACCGAGCCCCCCCGCCCCCGCCGTTGTCCCACCTCGCATTTAAACGCGGACCGGTGGATCTTAATTTCTGCCGAAAATGTAATTTTGAACACATGCACTCATTTCGTCTCTCCGCACTTGGCCTCACGTTGAATTGCCTCTCGGAGGACGGACCTAACGTTTTAGATGCCCCGGAAGAGCGCTGAATTTTTGGCTTTTCTAAATCCTGCAGCAAGCGAGCCAGAATGAGAGCTATTAAAATACCGACTAATGCCTGCGAAGACAATTTCCATAACTTCAAAGCCCGAAAGCTCCCATTGGCAATCGCTGCAAACAGCGAATCAGGGATCAGGGGCACATTAGATACTCGTGTCTGGGATATTACTGAGCAGGAGCAATGACTCAGTTTCCAGCCGAAAAGGTGGTTTTGTGTTTTTTTTTTTTATTTATTTTGTTTGCTTTTTGTTTGTTTGTTTTCCCTATTTGATCTCCTAGTTTTCTCTGTGGCGTAAGAAGCCACTGATTGTAGTGCTCCAGTAGCAGCCCCCCAAGGTGCTACCGGACATTACCTCTGCCAGACCACGGGATCGGCCCGGGTTGTGTGAAAACGGATAATTTCCCGGAGTGCCTGGTTGCCACCCCCAGCTCTGCCGCCCAGTCCGGCTCCGAGGCCGGGGTGAGCTGGAGGAGCCCCTGGGCTAGAGGCAGGGAGGTGGTGGCCGTCCCCAGCACATCCCTCCGGCTCCCGCCCCGTCCTCGTGTCCGGTGCGCCAAAAAAAAAAAAAAAAAAAAAAAAAAAAAAGACACCCCCCAGCCCACCTCCAAACAAATAAAACAAACGAAAAACACAAGAGAACTCTGCCGGAAGCTCTTTTGCCCAGCACAGATTTTTTTTTCCCTGTCCCCTGGTTTGTTCTTAGTGCACTTGCAGGTTTCAGTTGGATCATGGGATCATTAACTTGGATCACTGACTTTTAAAAATTCACCGTTTCGTTAAATTTCTTCACTATTAATTCGCTTTCTGGAATAACTCCAGAAGTGCGCCGAGAAGAGACCTGAACAAATTCTGAAAAGGTAATCTTAAATTCAAACATTTTCGCCCAGACACCTGAGGATGTGTGTTGTTTTCCTTTTTTTTTCCTATTAATCTGTCAGAAATGTGCTGCAATGACTTCATATCCTTTCATTTATTAAGATTACACTGTTCTTTTATTTTCTGATCATTACTAGAAATACTTCCATTGTAAATTTAAGTTTTCAAGGAGTTTTGCAGGCAAAATGATAAAACCATTTGAACACACTTTTATAAACACAATTGTCTTGAATATACCATGCAATTTTCTTCCTGAGGGTATATATAATCTTTCTGAGGATACAGTAATGATAGATAAGCAAGACTTAAATCGTAAACAAGATGATTAAATTATACAGCCCTGGCCTCTTGGACTGTTAGGAGTTAAATGGAGACATAATGTTCTGAAGAAAATGAGGCACATTAAACACAAAGAAGTTTTCCAAGATTCCAGATAAGGCACCTTTGATTGAAATCTGGTGTTCGGTAAACTGCCGTTCCAAATTTGCCTTAGTCACTGTGCTAGACTGCTTCCATGAGTAGTCTCACACAAAACTGATGTACAAGTCCATGTTTGCAGAATATGACCTTAAACAAGTGGCTTGTCACTCTGAACAGTTCAGCTTTCCATCAGTATCTTTGTTACATACACAGGCTTCTAATTTCAGGCCTTTACTGCTGAAGAACCTTGACTGTGATCACATTCTTAAAGGGAGGAAAGCTAAGGGTATTATTCCATTTCACATGCAGTAGTCAGCTTGAAGATCTTAATGAACATCGGGAAGAGCAAAGACACAATAAAAATCAGCAGAAATTTTAAAATATAAAAGGCAATAGAATAGGATTTCATTGATAATCTACTCTATAACATGGTTTTAGACAGTTATTTCATGGAAGGAACTTCTGTAAATCTATGTACTCAGAACTAGGTCTGTAAACTGTTCCACTAAAATTACAAACACAAGTGTTTACAATGTTGGGTCTTAGAAAGAAGATGAATTTACAGACACTGATTAAAAAAAAAAAAAAAAAAAAAAAAAAAAAGCTCAAAATTCACCAGAACTCAGAGGAAGTAGTAACTGCCTCAGAAAGGTTCCCATGTTTCATTAGAAACTCTCTCTTTGAATCCTGTATTTCTTCTATTAATAAAAATTCCATGTGTTGGACTTTGCTTTTAGTTGCATCTAGGTGTAGCTGAAGACGACATCTGAATGGAACTGAAAGGCTTGGTTTTACTAGTCTACTGACTTGCACTGGTCATCATGTTTACACTCATGGCAATACTTTTGTTCATAATGACCGTGCTGGGACAACATCTAGCTCATTCCCATACATTGTGCAGGGGGCTAGGGGCAAAAGAATGAAAATTTCCGTTCTATTTCTGAAAGAAACCAAAAGGACTCTGAGGCAGGCAATAAAACACTTACTAAGGAGGTTCAATTTTTATACTCCCTTTCCAGCATGAAAGTTCACTTAAGTAAAACAATGAGTATTTTAGAAACTGAGTGTACGCTCAAGTTGCTTCTAGAAAGTTAAACCGCATGATGGGCTGAGTGCTGTTGTTTTTACTGTTCAGGGCAAGGCAAGCAGCATGCTACAGAAGATCTGACACAGAAGGAAAAACATACAGATAGGCACAATAATGTCTATGGTAATGAACTCAAATCCTCAAGTCTGTAAAACCACATTGTGTTCTTGAGTGATGAATTTTGTATTTGGATCACTAACTTAGTTGAAAGAAGTGTAAAGACAGCTCCCTACTGGCAAAGTATCTGAGGAGGTTACAGAATGCTGTTTATTCCAGCTAGTGTCTGGAATAAATTATGTTCAAGAAATTGGCTCCTGATACTCCTATTTCAGATGAGAATTTGTACAGTGTGCTAAGTCCTAACACTTCTAGCCAAACCAGATCCCTCATTAGGATTTGCCGTTCATCATACCTGCCAGGAGCTCTCAGATCTGGAGAGGTGCTTGTTTTGAGGAGTGAAAGAATAACAGAAAAGGAACCGTTTACATTGGAGCTCCTGTCAGCTCTCAAAGGCACTGGTATTCTGGTCTGCAGGACTCTGAATTGTCAGTCTGAATAAATTTTCTCACTATTCCTACTTAAATTCTTTAGCTGTATAAGAAAGCCCCAAATTGTTTGTAGATAAACTATAGGTTGTAGTAACCACTTAACATTTCAAAGGTTTCTACTACAGATAAGGGGGGCGAATTGCAGCAGGTTACATGACAGCTCCTGGAAAGGGAAGGAGCATAACTTGTTTTTATTCCAGTGGATACAGCAGATGCTTGACAACTCCTGAGGCTGGACTCTAGGAAGTAGGAGGGTAATATGAGTGCTATTTTAAACAAAATTTAAACATTTTGATCTATAAGACATGTTTATCAATCAACCAGTGTGAATGATATTTATGCTGATTTTTAACTTAGTGCTTAAAAATTATATAGGTTTCAATTGATTCTTCTTACAACACGAACAACTGTCAAACCTGCAGAAGGGGAAGGCCAACAGAAATACTGTAAAGTCAAACCTAAGGAGATCCAAAACACTTGCCACCATATTGTCCAGGGCAACAGGAAGGAGGTCTACACTTTCACTTTGATAAGCAGTCTCACACCTCTCAGGAGAGCATAGTCCTCTCTGGGGCCATGTTTCCAACATCCTCACAGGTCTGTGTAACACTTATACTTCACTCTGGAGCTCATGCTCATTTTTTATTCCTAGGTTTCCCACACTAAAGTAAGTGCATCCCTTGGGGTCTTAGATGTGCTCTGGCAAAGACTTTCTTATGTATTTTGGACACGTGTAGGGTTGTTGCATACTCTACTACTTCATCAAAATTAGTAAATGGAATCTGAATCTCTGAGTTTGTAGCAGCTAAGACTTCTAAGTGAAAAAGGAGAGAATTTGGACTGATGCCCTACACCTGACTGTGAGGAAAGGCTGTATCACTGAGTGGATATTCAACCATCTGCTCAGCCAAAGGTTGTGAATTTCTGAAGAAATTTCTCCATACAATGTAGAATTTAGGTTGCAGACATCTATACCATGAGTCCAGGAGATAGGATGTTACAGAAGTCCTGTTGTCCTTCTTGCTTCCAGAGCTTTTTATAGACCCATATGTGCTCTTTTCCATTTCATGTTCCGCTAGAAGGGAGAAGGTGGACATATGATGTCACCTTCTCTTAAGTGTGGCTATAGACCACAATTTTTACAACCTGTAGATCACATTCTCCCCCCAGGTATGTTAGGACAATTTTTTCTGCTTTCCTGCAGTATAAAAATTCTCACCAAAGGTAGTGTGATCTTTTATTTCTTAGCATGATCCCATTGTCATGGAACAATGTGACTGCAACTACTGGATTTAACGTGAATTAGAGTAAGCTCAGCTTAGTATCTTAAAATTGTGTTGAACTAGATATAATTTAATGAAAAATAATTACATATACACATAAAAATATCCAGTATCTAATAAGTCAAAAGTATGGCCTAATGTATTAATTTATTTAAAAAACAAACAAACAAACAAAAAAAACAACCCTGCACTTTGTCTCAGCTTGTCAGTGTGCTTGTACATGGCCCCATACTTGTCATTTTACTTCACCCTCACCCTTTAGTTGACAGGATGGCTATACTAGAGAAGAAACAAGTGAGGAAAATCCCATAAAATCATTAAGAAGGAAAAATAGATTCCAATTGATTGGGATCCTTTAAGAAAAACAGCTAGATACTCTATTGATTTGAAAGATGTTGCTTGTGTACCAATGTTTAAGGTACACATTATAAATGTTTGTGGGGACAAGATCTCACTTTCTCTATAGTCAGAGAGATGTTTTGTACTTTCTGAAATTGTCATAGAAGATCTAGAAAAGGAAAATAGCTGAGGAGTATGTATTGAAGACAAGGAAATGTTTGAAATATGTGGAAGAGCTTGAAGCAATGGCAACTTTTTTATTATTATTTTTTATTATTATTATTTTGCTTGTCTAGGGAAGCACACCTTTCACTTCAGGAAAGAAGAAAGGCAGAATGAGGCCTGGACTGCAGTGCTGGTCTTTAATAGTACATGTTAAAAAATCACCAGCTGTGTTCCTTCCTCAGGGACCAACCTGCCGAATGGAAGAGGGCACTCATTAACTTTAGACTCAGATGCCAGTGCTTCATGCTGAGTTTAAGTTCATACCCCCTGCACGGACAAGCAAAAAGAATGTTTCACCACTGCTTTGCACTGACTTCGTACCTGAAGTACAAGACCCGGAGAATCAACCCCATACTTTCTCTCTTCGCAGGTACTGAGGAGAGGATGCTGCGCACCAGCCCTGAACCTGGGGATAACCCGAGGGGTCAGGTGCCACGTTCATCACAGCACAGCTTCCTACACTCTTCCCATGCTGTCCTTGCTCCCCGGACTCACTCTTCTCCTCCATCAGGGACAATCTTTGCCAAGAGCGGTGCATCCCCACCGGCCGGGGATGCTGCGGGTACCGCGGCGGGGCTGCACCCACGGCACTGCGGGAAGCCGGGATCCTCCAGTGCCCATCCTTCCCTTCCTCCGCACTACCTTCCCTTTCAAAACACCACTCATAACAATTAAAAAAAAAAAAAAAAAAAAAAAGCGGCTGACTATTTGCAGCCCCGGGAACGGAAAGCAGCAGCAGCGCGGCGCGGCCGGGCAGGCGCGGTGCTGCCGCCGGGCGAGGCGGCG